CTATCCTTTTTAATGAAATCTCTGGGATTACTTTCTAAATGAACAGTGAGAACAGTACAAAAGCGGAAGCAGAGAGCATTCCAGAAAGCCGAGAGGCACCTGGCACAAGCCCGATCCCGGGCCCAGCTGTTTACATTTCATTACTTTTGCTTAAAACTGAAGGAATAATTAAAATAAATCCTTTGGGCTCCAGGGAGAAAACCCTAGTAACAAGGACTCCAGGAGCGCTTATGGATGGGCTTTCTGGAAGAATTCCACGAGGTTTCTATAATCTCCATTCATAAAAAGAGAATTGATTTATGCAAAACAGCTCATTAATAGGCATGAAAGGTAGACCTCTCAAGTGGGTGATTCTAAAAAAGGGGAGAAGGGGATCACCCTGCAATCGACTTGTTAAATCAGGTCTGTAGACCTGGACTCTTTCTCATTTGCATTTCCCAATGTCAGGAGCAGAAAGATGGCCTGGGAAAACTGTATTTCTGCCTGGGATCACTGTTGGGAAACTATTGCTCAACTACATTTCTCCTTGTTCTTTATTCCAGTGGAATTTGTTCTGTTTTTATTCCAATACATTTGTTGTGTTTTTAAAGAAGTGCCTGCAGTTACACATTCGAGCAGATGTGCACATGCAGAAAATAGACTGTACTTTGCTTCCTGCCTCCACATGTGTCTGGCACATAGAAAGTGATCAATAAACACGCATGATTGGCCTGTGGGGATGGATAAGAGAATGGCCAAGTTAGAGTTTGGAACTGTGGAATAGCATCTGCATTTCCTCTGGAAAAAATGATTTCAATGTTCTTTTTAAACTGGGGAAGGGGTTGCAAGGAGCCAGGACACCTATAGGAAGGGCTCTGCTTCATCAGTTGTCAGGGAACATACATCACACTAAAATGAGATACTCTTACGTATCCTCTCAAAATGCTAACGTTTCAGTAAGACTCATCAGAGCAGAATTGCCCAGAAAACATTGCTGGTAAAAGAATAAATTAATGAAATCGCTATGGACAACAGCCAGTATTACCCTCTGAAGTTGTAGATATGTGCTCCCAAATGACTTGTAGTCCTACTCTATAGCACATGCCACAGAGAAATGTGTGCACAAATGTTCCAAAAGACACATATGAGGAGATTAACAAAGTTAACCATCCTGGTCTCTACAAACCATCCCAGCTTCCATTGACAGCAGAAGTCATTCATAAATGACTTCTAATTTATAATTCATAAATTATAGTATATCATAAGTAGTATAATGTATAATAAATTGCAGTGTATACTATAGTATAGTATAGTAAAATATTATATACAATGGGAATGAATGAACTAAAGTTACCTATAACAACATGAATGAATCTCAGAAATGCTGTTGGCTACAAAGCCAGACTCGAAGGCACATATATTGTATTGTTCATGTAGAATTTAAAAAGGCAGTGTTGCCCTAGCCTGTTTGGCTCAGTGGATAGAGTGTCAGCCTGCAGACCGAAGGGTCCCAGTTTTGATTCCAGTCAAGGGCACAGATCTTGGTTTCAGGCTCCTCCCTGGCTTGGGCCCCGGTCTGGGCTCCTACTGGAGGCAACCAATCGATGTGTTTCTCTCACATCAATGTTTCTATTTTTCCCTCTCTACTCCATTCTCCCTAAAAATCAATGGAAAAAATATGCTCAGGTGAGGATTAACAATTTATTTTTAAAGGCAGCATTTATTATAAATGTACAGGTCCAGAGAGTGGATGGAGGGTGATGGGAGTAGAACCTGAAGAAGGCGCCAGGGAGGGCCTCTTGGGTGGCAGCCACATCCTGTTTCTAGACACGGCTACTAGTAAGTCGTGCTTTGCTGTCTGTTGACCTGTCTGGTAATCTTCTCTCCGGCTGATACTACTTGGTAAGGACAGTACCGACATGAACACCTTAAGCCGTGGTGAACCCTTCCAGAGGTTGCCACCCAAACCTGTTTATTATTTATAGATACATCCAAGCCCTTGGTTCTCATTTGCTCTTTAGGTAACATTGCCTATCTATGGATAGTAAGTCCCAGAAGAAATGTCATTGGGTTCTTTAGAGCAAATGAGAATTTTGCTGTCATTTCTGACACATCTTCTAAATCTCAACAGCAAAATCTCTAAGGGCCACGTTCATACTTCCAGCCCATGTGTCCAACAGCATGGACTCATCAACAAGGGCATCGCTTTGTGTTTCTCTCTCAGCTCCACAAATTGGGATCTCTCCATTTTGAGAGAACAGACCTCTCGCCTTCCAACAACCTCCTCTCCCACCTCGGCACAGCCAGTGCAGTGTGAATGTGCAATTTTATTCAAATAGACCCAAAAGATTAGGTCCTGCAGAATGTAAGTAGAGGTGGGAGGTGAGAAAAGGCTTGGGTTTTGAAAGAGTATCATTTCTGATGAGGCACATAAATAGATGCCCAGCGGTGATGATGAAGGAAAAACGAAGATAAAGCGTTGGGTGATCTACTTCCCTGTTGATTTCAAAAATAAATGTAATAGCGGCTCGCTGTAATTCAGCCACGCTACTGCTCAAAGTCCATTTGTTTGAGAAGTGAATTATTCTTAAAAGCAAAGACAGCTTTCTCCTGGGTATGATACCAGTTGGGGGTCACGTTATTATTACATTAGGAGGCATTGGAATATTAAATTCATTGCAATGTTGTTTGGTGCTATTTCCAAAAGGAGAGTGAAAAAGTAATACTTATTTTCAACTTTCTTTTACTTAAGAAACGCAAGAAAAAAATATTCCTTTGCCTACTTCATTTAGTTTCTTCTGTCCTGATGTACAAAAAAAAATTAGAAGCCACCTAGCATTTCCATTTATAATAAGATATGCGTTACCCACTTTACACACTTCACAATTATCAGAGACTTTCCAGTTTCCAAATGTACTTTTAGGTGTTATTTTTAAAATTCTCCTGGGTCTTAATTTCTCTTTCAGATAAAAATGCAGTTTATCACCGTATCATCAGGATCATGTTGAACTGGCTTTGCATTTCTTATAAAAAGTTAAGATATTCTACAGTGATCAGAGCCCACGAGGCTTTTAACATTTATTTCTAAATGTGAGGGTTTTTTTTTTCGCATACATGCAGGGTGTCACCAAAAATGTATACACACTTTGACAGCTGATTCCATTCCAATTGGGAGATGAAATGTAATCTATTAAACACTGCCTTTATAATTATTCCAAGTGTGTATACATTTTTCAGAAACAAGGGCAGCCCCAAATGGCCAACATAAGGGGAACCTCCGTGTGTGGAGCAGGGTCTGAGGGACCTAAGACCTGCAGGGGAAACAGACCGGGTTATTAATCCGCACGCTGCCGAGAGCTGAAGTAATTCCACAAGGTGGACTCTATCCATAGATTCTATGAATGAAGTTTCAAAGCGATTACTTATTCAGAGTAACGGACAACAGGCCCTTTCCCTGAGCACTAGCCCCTGGGCCCCAGTGGGTCCCCTGCAGGGCTGGGGCTGGGGGAAGTGTTGCAGGGGTGGGGGGTAGAGGGGCATAGCAGCCGCCTCCTGCACCGAGACAGGAATGAAAATACTCCTCACCTTGAGCACACACGTTCGAACCCATCTAAGGAGGCAGAGAGGCCTCTGTGAGGAGTTTCACTGGACAACTTCGCCGTTGTCTGGGACTACGGTTTTTATTCATGTGGATCCTGCTTTATTTCCTCCATCTACAATTAACACATATGTACATGTGTATGCTTATCTATTTCTGAATATATATATGTATATATATATTCATATATACATATATACATATATACACATATACATATAATTACATATTTGAGGTACATTTTAAATAAATATAGCTGCATTTGATTAGATATGTGTGTGTGTGTGTGTGTGTATGTGTGTGTGTGTGTATATTCGCATACATGCAGGGTGTCACCAAAAATGTATACACACTTTGACAGCTGATTCCATTCCAATTGGGAGATGAAATGTAATCTATTAAACACTGCCTTTATAATTATTCCAAGTGTGTATACATTTTTCAGAAACAAGGGCAGCCCCAAATGGCCAACATAAGGGGAACCTCCGTGTGTGGAGCAGGGTCTGAGGGACCTAAGACCTGCAGGGGAAACAGAATCGGGTTATTAATCCACACGCTGCCGAGAGCTGAAGTAATTCCACAAGGTGGACTCTATCCATAGATTCTATGAATGAAGTTTCAAAGCGATTACTTATTCAGAGTAACGGACAACAGGCCCTTTCCCTGAGCACTAGCCCCTGGGCCCCAGTGGGTCCCCTGCAGGGCTGGGGCTGGGGGAAGTGTTGCAGGGGTGGGGGGTAGAGGGGCATAGTAGCCGCCTCCTGCACCACCCACCTCAGCAGCGGGAAATACCTTCAAACCCGGCTGTCCCTGGATTCCACAGGGAGCACCCCAGTCTTTGGGAACGCTGCCGATAAAGGACAGGGGACACTGTGTCTATTGCTCATCTGCTAATGCTCCCAAATGTCACCACGGTAATTACTTGGGTGACATTTATGTGACGCCGCTGGACAGTGTTCGGTTAATATAAAGTCTGCCTGCGGCAACCACTGTATTTCCACCTGCATCGCACTGTGGCCCGTGACCATATCCCCGGGGAGTAGCCACCTGCCCAGGGACCCCTGCCCTCGGCCTCCCCTCTGCGGCCTCTGCACCCCAACATTCAACACAGAGGACAAGGAGGAGGAGTAACGGAGCCTGTGTCTTTGTCTTATATTTCCATCTGGACGCTTAGAGCTGTTTCTAAATATGATCCCCGAGATGTCATAACGGTGCGAATGTCTTCTTTTACTGAACCGGATTCCCTTTAACCCCGGGAGTCTGGATTCACAAAACAGGCCATGAAAATGTTTGCCTCCGTAAATTCATGTTTGTTCTCAGAGAGCAGGTGAATGGCAAAGCCGGATTTTCTTCTAAAATGAATATAATAAAAATACTACATTTTCATAATCACAGCAATTATAGATTTCCCCCCCAAACTCACATGCAAACTGGAGCTTCGCCTTCCGACTCAGAGCCGTGCCCAGTGGGTTGGTGGCCAGGCACTGGTAAGTGCCCATGTCCTGGTCCCAGCGCGGGCTGCTGATCGCCAAGTTGCCTCCGTCCAATCGGTGGTGCGAACTCGAGGAGAAATCCAGGTCTGTGCCATTTTGCCTCCACCTTCAAGGGGGAAAAACCAAGTTATGCTCATCATAGAGCCAGCCGCTCTGTGTCACACACACCTTCGTAGTTCCCGGGACCGATTCGAAAACCCAGCATGGCTCCATGTGGAGACGGTCCTACCAGTTCCGCCACAGATAACTGTGCCCATGAGCTCAGCAAAATCAATAAGTAGGATATTTGAAAGATCTACTCTTGCCCGGCCAGCGTGGCTCAGTGGTTAAGCATCGACCTATGAACCAGGAGGCCACGGTTCGATACCGGCCAGGGCACATGCCCGGGTTGTGGGCTTGATCCCCAATAGGCGGCGTGCAGGAGGCAGCTAGTCAATGATTCTCTCTCATCCTTGATGTTTCTATCTTTCTCTCCCTCTCCCTTCCTCTCTAAAATCAATAAAAATATTTTTTAAAACAAAGAAAAGATAGATCTACGCTTTATGAATTACAACCATTCACCTAAATGAGTACAAAGAGGCAACAGAACCCTCAACACGAGAAAGAAAACGATCTGTCAAGAACACAGACCATCTTGCTCCTGGAGCAACTTTTCGAGCAGCGTGACCATCCTGCTCACCCAGAACTGACACTGTGAAATGAAACGTCAGGATGATTTAGGGAGAGACATGCGGACGAATGTGTTACAAACGGCCCAGGAAAGATGGCCAAGATCTCACAGTGCCGGGCGGAGGCTGATAACAACCCGACAACAGCCTGGTGGCCATGGAACACGCCTGTCCCTGTTGGTTTTTTCCTGGGAAAATTAATCACGCTGGAACCAGCTCCACGGTGCTTGGAAATGCCAGGCTGTCCTGATACTGGAACAGCACAGACAGGGCTCGAGAAGCTTTCACTTTAGACAGCAAAGTCTCCGGCTTAGTTGTTACTGAGCAGTCCTCTAGTCCACTGGTTCTCAACCTTCCTGATGCCGCGACCCTTTAATACAGTTCCTCGTGTTGTGGTGACCCCCAACCATAAAATTATTTTCGTTGCTACTTCATCACTGTAATTTTGCTACTGTTATGAATCGTCATGGAAATATCTGCTATGCAGGATGTATTTTCATTGTTACACATTGAACATAATTAAAGCATAGTGATTAATCACAAAAACAATATGTAATTATATATGTGTTTTCCGGTGGTCATAGGCGACCCCTGTGAAAGGGTCGTTTGACCCCCAACGGGGTCGCGACCCACAGGTTGAGAACCGCTGCTCTAGTCCGTGAATTAAGTGGGAAGAAGGCCTCACCATGCTTTATGTTTAAGAACCAGAAATGCTCTGGAAATGCCCTTCGGTCATTTGAAGACGAGCATGCCCAGTGATTATCTCTAACTTCCCCCCCGGCACCTCCT